CGATTTGAACAGAACAGTATAATATATACTCATCTCAATAGTCATGCAAATTATTTACAAATGTAAATGCTTGAAATTGTATAAAGTGAACTTCCGTTGCTACAATATTTATCATTTTTAATACATACTCGCTTTTAAATAGCTTCATTAGGTCTTCACAAAAACTGGATTCGTTTTGTTTTACGAAAAAATATAGTTTCAAAATTCTTTTGGTTATTCAAATATATTTTTGCATACACATGTATGTATGCACATCTTAAAATCTAAATATATTTGTCGAATAAAATTTATGAAAATAAAATGTAAAAACATAGCGAAAACCTCGTCATTTATTATTTAATTAAATATGTCAACGCATAAAGCAAACCTACAATTCCAGTCGAATATTTTATATTTTGCTTTTTCCAAACAACTTATATCCAAGCAATAGTTTTCTTAACTGTGTAGTGTTTTAAGGGGGAATCGGAAATTTTAGTTTGGGGGATCAACTTTCCATTCACAACAATGGTCCGATTCATTTCTGGCTCTAACTATTATTTATTTGTTAATAGTTTCAAATAAATTGTTCATCTTCTATCAATTTATTATGTCATCGGTATACGTTGAACAATGATAGTAAATATGTAGAAAATTGGAAATTTGACTTTACATAGGTTTACTAAGCTTACCTCGATTAAAAATATATGACAACTGTTTTATGTTGGTTTTTTTTTACTTTGTTAACCTAGACTGTTCAAAAATTTTCTATTTACTTCTGATTTCATTATACTATACAATTATGTGACATGAAATTCACTTAAATTGTTGTTTTTTTTATATTATAGTTTTTTTTTTTTACTAACTACGAATTATTGATCTGACATAAATCAAACTAACATTCAATATTTAGGAGTTTTGTACGCGAGTTTATAGGTAAGCCAAATATTACCCTCCTCCTTCTCTTACCTTATCTTTTCAAGGTTAGTTTTCGAATTATATAATACCAACAGCTATAACTTCTGTTTTAAGGATGTGGACTTCAAAAACTCCAATGTGTAGGCTAGTTCCTTTTTTATTACTTACCTGGTTTTATTTTTATTCAAGTTGTATACTGTTTGTTTTACATGAAATCGTTAATATGAAAATAGTTATTGCATATAAAATATGTAGGGGTTTAAATAATGTATTTAAGGTTTCATGAATGTAAGAACCTTTCGTGTTCAAACAAGCCTTTGCAAATTACCTTGAAGTATGGTCTAATCTTTTGCAAATTATTAAACATTTTCTTAATTACATTTATTTATTGTGATAAGAGGTCTCATGCAATAGGTTCAACTATCTCAAAATGTCTTGTGTCGTCTGCTGAGAATTATCTTTGAAGGAACATAGATCAGTAAATAACTCATTTATATCTGCTTGCTGATTAATTTTGTACAATCTTTTTGCATATTCATGAGGTAAAACTAAATTTATAAAAAAATAGCACAACTTTTATTTATTGGAAATAACAATTCAATAAAAGATGTACGAAAAATTCTACACAAATTCTAATGCAGACAACAAACCGTTTTTAATGGTATTGGATTCTTTCCTGTCCTCTCAAAAATCAAGCTCATCCAAAGGGCTAAACCAAAACTTTGTTCAGCCAGAAGTATTAAATTAAACATCTGAGAAAATATGAAGAACTTTTATTGGGGGGAAGGGTAAAAGTTCCTTTAATGAGCCAATGAAACGAGTTGACAATGTGTTTACTGAGAAGCTGAATTGTTCTCTCGAACTTTGTGTATATTACAAAGATATCAACAATTAGGATATTTCATCGGTCGTGTCGATCGGGCACCAAGCAACCCAATCTGGTTGTGGGACTTGGCATGCGATAAAAGAGTAGAGTACTTACAAATACTGTATCAAGAAGGGACCAGTACTTACTGCCTCGCTGTGGAATCTGTGCAGCTGAAATAAAAAACACCAACGTTATCAAACATATAACACTAAAATTACAAGTAACATCCAATACTACTACGATACAGTACAGTACGACGTCATGTCTATCCCGACAACAAGGCACGTTCGCTTGCGCTCGCCGCGAGGGTCGGACAATCGGCAAATCGGCAAATCGGCCGGGGGACGCAAAACTCGGAAAAGCAATCGAACGCGAACAGTGTTGCGAACGCGGCACGGAACGCGGATGTACACAAAACACTAACTGTAACTATCAAGATGCAACACTGTCGGACAATTTCATCATGCAAAGAATAAAAAGCGATGTTGACACCAATGCAAGACAAGGGGGTCGGGGTCTAAGCGCAATCCGACTATAAAATGAATCAGAACAGGCAACACATGAACTCACAAGCACGAAGACGGTGTTTTCCTTCGTTTAGGAGCGACCGCTCTCACGTTAACATTGCGAAGGGACGAGTCTGCAAGGAAACAAGAGAGAAGTCAGAAACACACACAAAAGTGACATGCTTGCCACCCTAACATGCTATCATTACCCGGTAAATAATCTACTAATAGTAGCCTACAGGGTTACTTAACTACTGGTTTGTCCTTCAGGTAATAAATCATCTATACTAGTTGATTTGCCACCCTGACTTTCTATCACTACTCGGTGAAAGTATACTATTTATTTGAACGTGTAGGTCTACAGAATACTAGACTTACTGGCTTGAGTGACTTATGCATAATATGACACCAGTAAGGTTACACTTGCCATGTTTATCCTACTGAGTTATCTTTATATTTACAGTTTTACCCACAATAGTTCATTGTTCACCTATGGCAGTGATTTGCCACATTTTGCCTGGCCCTATATCGTTAATATTTTCAGTTTTACTCTACATATATTAAATTTTACCAATTGCCTACTTAAGTGTCATATATATTTACAACACAAATCTATATAGTTGTCCAATCACATAATTTTAAACTTACGATTATGTAATATTGGTCCCTTGTCTCCTCAATGTCTACACAAATCTATAAACATCACTATTTTTGTATCTTAACTTTGTAGGCTATTTTCTTAGACATAAAGACACCAAAGATCTTTTTTGGTAAAGAACCATGTACATATAAAATAAACAGTCATTTATGACAGAGTGATACCATTTGTTGCATTGAATCATATAAATGTAATGACGAGAATTAGAATTTAACATGAATTATGTCCTATCATAAAATATCCATATTTAAAAAAAGTGTTCTGTCCATTTACACAAATAAATAAAACTTGATAATCAAAAGGCGCACAGATGTATATGTGTATCGATAGACGATTTTCACATATTCCAAAAGTCTGGAAATGTAATTCCTTTCGTCATTCAAATGCATCATAATCAAAAGGTATAGCATATTTTGCTTTAATTGAGCAAATATTTGTGATTAATGCAAAAAATTTATATTTTCATATTCTGTTACAGTACTTAAATCAATATGTACCTACGATCAACATTTTGTCTGAACCTACTGGTGTAGCGTGCATACTATAGCTAACTTAACATAATCTTTTTACATAATAACATTCATTTTTCAATAATATATAAATTTTGAACACTATATTTCTTAAGAACTAAAATATTTCGAAATATATTCATGAGTCGTCTTGACTATGATAATTCTATAAAACAATTTCTACAATGCCTCTTACAATGGGCAAAGGTTTGTACTCTTTGAGATAAGCTTTGATCAAAACAAGTTACAATAGAGCAATCAAATAGTTCGTACGCACAGCAATGCTAATTAACCTATAATTCATTGGTAACTTTGCATGACCAGGAACGTTTATACATCTTCTTTGGCAGTCTAAAATAACACACAGAGTCATTGCTGATAGTTTGCTATCAAGTACTTATAGTCAAGCTAAAAACCTTTAAATAAGAAAGAATATTTTATAATTTTCCATAAGAACCCATTCCTTTTGGGAAGATCATCCCATAGAAAACGTAGTAGTCTCCAAATAAACTCCAATCATTTCTGTGTTATTTTAATATGGTTTTTTTAATTAGTTTCTTTCTTCTACCATAACTGTTGTGAATATTACTATGTTAGCTTAACTCACCTATTGAATATTTATTGTTCTTACA